TTCACCCAAATCACAATTAATAATAATAATAATAAACTCCTGTTTGTTAAGGGCATCCCATTTGTGGTATATTCTTGTCAGAACATACCCATTTTTTAAAAAAAAAAAAAAAAATGCCACAAAGCTTTCCTACTGGTTTTTAGTTACCTTTAATTTGATTTTGACTGCTTACCAGAGGCTGGCAGTTCAACCTCACCAGCCATTCCTGGGAAGGAAGGTTGGGCTATCTACTTCCTTAGTGATACAGCCTCAGAAACCCAAGGAGGGGTCATTATGGGTTAGATCCGACTTGACGGCAGTAAGTTTCTTTTAAATTTGATTTAGCATTTGCTTGGTTAATGTAAACATATGACTGTTTCCCAGAGTTCTGACTAAGACGGTTTGGTTAGTTTCAGGTTGTTTTTTGCTGTTTCTGTGGAGCCACAGGAGTTTGGAACTGTCTACTTTGCCATTTTTCTGATGCCACTGAAAATGTTAATCCTTTTAAACAGCAAAATTCCCAGAGGAATTGGTGTGGCCTAATAAAATCAGAATTTATTCATTTATTTAACAGAAATATTTATTTCTCCAACTGTAAGACTACATATTCAAATTTATGAACAGGCATTCCCCAGGTTATGAACATCTAACTTACGTACAACCTGTAGTTAGGAACCAACCTCATAAAACGTATTATATTAAAATATAAAGGTACATATAATAATTTTCACTACAAAATAGGAACTACATTGCAATGCACATTCAAAACATTATTATTATTATTATGCTAAAAATGTTTTAGTACATCTGGAAGTGTTTCTTTAATGTTTCTTATGCAAAGAAAGGTATACTATATATTATATACATCAACATATGACTGACTGATGTTATGTATTAACCATACCTAACAGTTCCAACTTACATATAAATTTGACTTAAAGATCCAACTTAGGAATGGAACTCATTTGTAACCCAGGGACTGCCAGTAATATAAATTCATACTACAGTTCTTAATAGCCATGCTGGTGATTATTATAAAATATATTATTCATATATGTAGATATACATATACCACAGACACATGTCATACACAGACACACATACATGTATTAAGAAGGAAAAAAAAAAAACCTCACTGCCATCAAGTCGTTTCCAACTCATAGCAACCCCTCCTTGAGTTTCCAAGGCGGTATATCTACAGAAGTAGATTGCCCAAACTTATATCCGAGGAGTGGCTGGTGGGTTTGAACCTCTAGCCTCTGGTTAGCAGCCAAATGCCTTGACACTATACCACCAGAGCTCTCATATATGTATTAAACTCAAAAACATCCTGTTATCATGTCCGATCTGACTCACAGCGACCCCTCATTGGGTTTCTGAGGCTTTATCACTACGCAAGTAGAATGCCCAATTTTCCTTCCAAGGAGTGGCTGGTGGGTTTAAACTGCCAACCTTCTGGTTATCAGTCAAATACCTTAGGCACTCTGCCACGAGAGTTCCTATATATGTATTATTCATGTGTGTGTGTATGTGGCACATATTAATTATAAATTTGTGTTACACCATTTCTAGTAAACTCAAGTCTATTTTACTTTTTGCTGAGCTATTTGGCTACTTGCATTTAGACTGTGTTTAGATGCAATGTATGCAACCTATCTTATTTTATATGAAAACAATAAATACTTAATATAAAACATTTCAAAATCATTTGTTTTTAGCTTCTCAACACCTCAGGTTAGCCATGTGCAAAAATGTGGATACCTACCACTACCTATTTTTTGCACTTAATAATTGTGCTAGTTAAGTTTGTGTGTCAACTTGGCTGGTCTCTACTATGCAAGTTCTCCTCTTCTCATCCCCATGCTTGGTCTCCCACCCTGAACTCTCCTCAACCTACCCCCCCCACCAACTTGGTCTCTGCCCTAGATGCTCTCCTCTCCTCATTCCCAAACCTGATTTCTGCCCTGAACGTGTTCTTCCCCTCATCCCCATGCCTGGTCTCTGTCTTAGATGCTTATATGTACATACATACACACACACACACATACACACAATTTCTTAAAAGCTACACAGAAGTGAATACGTATCAAATTATCTTACCCAGTCAGCATTTTTCAGCTCATCCAGATGTGTGCTAGATTCATCACTCTTTTCCATTTCTTGTATTTTCTTCAGGTTCTACCATTTGAAATAAAGAAAAAACAGGCATTAAAATTTCATTGAACTACCTTCTCAAATTAAAATTCCTATATTTTCAGATAAAATATATACACAAATTTATTGAAAAATATATCACATAGTTTACTCTTCTAAAAAAATTTAAAGTCAAGAATAAAATAGAAAGGCCTCCAGAGGGATGGACTGAGATTGCTCATTCTGCTTTCTTTGTAGGCCTTTTAGGTTAACACTCAATTATAATATTAATTATAATATTAATTCACATCTCCTTTTCACTTACTACTTATATCCATTATTAAGTCTCACAGATATTACTTTCTCCAATATTTGTTTTACCTAGGCCCTCTTCTTTTCCTCTGCACTACAAATCCCTTATTCTAAACACCATCTCCCTGGACACTCCCTTGTCCTCATCCTCACTGCCTGTTCTCTGCCCTAGACACTGTCATCTCTTATCCCTCATGTCTGGTCTCTACTATGCAAGCTCTCCTCTCCTGATCCCCATGCTTGGTCTCCCACCCTGGGCTCTCCTCAAATCCCCTCCCCCCCAACTTGGTCTCTGCCCTAGATGTTCTCCTCTTCTCATCCCCAAACCTGATTTCTGCCCTGAACATGTTCTTCTCCTCATCCCCATGCCTGGTCTCTGTTTTAGATGCTTCCTTTCTTCGCCCTCCCTGACTAGTGTCTTTAATTGCCTACTTTTTACTTTTCCTTCAGATATCAGATTCAACAGTATCACCAATACCTTATGGAAGCCTTCTCTACCTTCCTGACAAATCCTAATCCTCCTATTACACAAATTTATAATACTATATACCTTTCCTCTATAGCTGCTATTAAGATCACGTTTTTACATTTATTTGTGTGAACATTTATGTTTTCCCTCTAGATGTAATGAAACACAACTCTAACTTCAGAAGCTAAGACTATTGACAGTTGATACACCATATATATTTGTTAAGTAGTTTAAGAAACTAATTTCAATTGGTAAAATGCCTTTTAAAAACCCATGCATTCAGTATTTATAACTTTTAAGAAAATTTTGATCACAAAAACATATATTTACATATTAATTAAAAATTCGTGTTACACCATTTCTAGTAAACTCAAGTCTATTTTACTTTTTGCTGAGCTATTTGGCTACTTGCATTTAGAGTGTTTTTAGATGCAATATATGAAACCTAGCTTATTTCATATGAAAACAGTAAACACTTAATATAAAACATTTCAAAATCATTTGTTTTTAGTTTCTCAACACCTCAGGTTAGCCATGCTAACCAGAAGGCTGGTGGTTCAAACCCACCAGCCACTCCTCGGAAGGAAGATGGGGCAATCGACTTCCGTAGTGATACTGCCTCGGAAATCCAAGGAGGGGTTGCTATGAGTCGGGTCTGACTCGACCGCACATAACAGCAACCACCACCACTACCTACTTTTTGCACTTAATAATTGTGGTAGTTAAGTTTGTGTGTCAACTTGGCTGGGCCTGGTTTAGTGCCTGGGCACCTGGATGTAGTATTCCCTATGATAAGACTGGTAATCAGCTCCATGGTGGAATCTATTGTGAGCAGCTCAACAGCTGCCTTAGGGATGTGATCTGCGCTTCCTGTATATAAGCAGCCTTGGGGAATGGTCTCTAGCTTATGGCATGCTTGAACCCTGCATATAGCTGCATATAAGGCTGCCATGGTCTGCTGACCTTGGGACTTTCAATCAGGACTGTGCCTTTTTACTTGTCAACCTTGGGCTCGGCAGCCTCAACAGACAGCAGCTGAGTGAAGAAAAGCCTCCAGCTCCAGTGGATCAGGAGCAGGAGGCAGAGCTGAAGTCCAAGGTTGAGGGCTTTCACCCAGCCCCTAGAGCCTGGCACTCTGAACTCGGACTTAAAGCCTCCCGACTATAAGAGAATAAACTTCTATTTGTTCAAGCCATCCCATTTGTGCTATATTCTTGTCAGAGTGGCACTAGATAACCAGAACAATAATAACAAAGGAAGAACAAAATTAATATAGTATTAATACAGAATAAAATTACTTTGAATATGTGAAGAAAAATCACTAGAAACAATGCATTTTTCCCTCACTAGAGAAGAAAATAGAAAGAAAATAATTGCTGATTATTTCAGAGTATGTTTTCATAATTATTTCAAAAACAAATGTCAGGTTTTCTGCTTGAGATGATAAAATAAGACACTTGCTACTCCTCGGTTTTAAAGTAAGACACTTGCTACTCCTTGGTTTTATGACTCTAAGTGGCCCTCTAGGGGATTCTTGTTTCTCACCCTTAAAATGAAAATATCATGTACCTTACAATGTTGTTTTGAGTATTAAATAAAAAATTAAAAAAAAAAAACCCTAAAATAAATTATTGGTACACTGCTTGGCACAGATACAGTTCTTAACATAATTCTCTTTACCTCCTAAAAAATCCTAAGTCATTATATTGTGTTGTTGCATGCCACTGAGTAGATTCCCACTCATAGTGACCCTATAGGATAGAATTGAACTGCCTCATAGTGTTTCCTAGAAGCAGACTGTCAAGTCTTAGTGGCTGGTGGGTTTGAACATACGACTTTTCAGTTAGCAGACCACTGCTTAGCCATTGCATCACCAGAGCTTCTTATTGTTATATCAAAATCTATATAAAATCTTAAAATATAATCAATTAAATATGGCACAGCCTTGTATTTATGGTCTGGGGTAAAGATTTCCTAAAATATGCATATCTGGATCATCCTTTGTAGCTTATAACCTAGCTTCATTACCTACTACTAATGCAGCCCTTCATTTTATGTTTCTATCCGTGGCTCTTGGTTAAATAGAATGTTGGGGCCAGCTCTTGTGGTACAGTACCTAAGGCATTTGATTGCTAACCAGAAGGTTAGCAGTTCAAACCCACCAGTTGCTCTGTGAAAGGAAGATGGGTCAACTGACTTCTGTAAAGATTTACCACTTCAGAAACCCAACAGGGGTCGCTATTACTCGGAATCAACTCCACGGCAGTCTGGTTTTTTTTTTTTTTTTTTTTAAATGTACTGGGTACACTGCTCAAAAGCATCAACTCTTCTTCAGTCTTCCTTGTTTGTTGTTCAGCTCTCACATGCATATGAGGCGACTGAAAATACCATGGCTTGGGTCAGGTGCACTTCAGTCTTCCAAGGGACATCTTTGCTCTTCAGCACTTTAAAGAGACCTTTTGCAGCAGATTTGCCCAGTGCAATATGTTGTCTGATGTCTAGACTGCTGCTTCCCATTGGTGTTGATTGTGGAGCCAAATAACTGAAATCTTTGACAACTTCAATCTTCTCTCCATTTATCATGATGCTGCTTACTGGCCAGTTGTGAGGACTTTCGTTTTATGTTGAGATGTAATCCATACTGCAGACTGAAGTCTTTAATCTTCACCAGTAAGTGCTTCAAGTCATCCTCACTTTCAGCAAACAAAGTTGTGTCCTCTGTGTATCGCAGGTTATTGATGAGTCTTCCTCCTATCTGGATACCACATTCTTCAAGTAGTCCAGCTTCTTGGATTATTTGCTCAGCATAAAGATTGAGTAAGTTTGGTGAAAGGGTACAACCCTGACACACTCTCTTTCAGATTTAAAATCATGCAGTATCCCCTTGTTCTGTTCGAATGACACCTCATAGTCTATGTACAGGTTCCTGATGAGCACAATCAAGTGTTCTGGAATTCCCATTCTTCTCAACATTATCATAATTTGTTATGATCCACACAGTCAAATGCTTTTGCATAGTCAATAAAACACAAGTAAACACCTCTCTGGTATTTTTTGCTCCCAGCCAAGATCCTTTTGACTTCCGCAATGGTATCTCTTATTCCAAGTCCTTTTCTGAATCCAGCTTGCATTTCTGGATGTGCTCTGTCAATATATGCTAAAACTGTTCATGAATTATCGTTAGCAGTATTTTACTTGAGTATGATATTAATTATATTTTTCAATAATTTCCACATTCTGTGGGATCACCTTTCTTTGGAGTGGGTACAAATATGCATCTCTTCTGGTCAGCTGGCCAGGTGGCTGTCCTCCAAATTTCTTGGCATAGACGAGTGAGTGCCTCCAGTGAGGCATCCATTTGCTGAAACATCTCAGTGGGTATTTCATCAATTCCTGGAGCCTTGTTCTTCACCAATTCTTTCAGTGCAGCCTCAACTTCTTCCTTCAATACCACTGGTTCCTGATCACATGCCACCTCCTGAAATGGATGAACATGAACCAATTCTTCTTGGTACAGAGACTCTGTGTATTCCTTCCATCTTCTTTTGATGTTTTCTGCATCATTCAATATTTTGCCCACAGAATCTTTCAATAATGCAACTTGAGGTTTAATTTTTTTCCTCAATTCCTTCAGCTTAAAAAATTCCAAGTGTGTTCTTCTCTTTTGGTTTTCTAATTCCAGGTCCTTGCACTTTCGGTATAATAATTGACTTTGTCTTCTCAAGCTGCTGTTTGAAATCTGTTTAGCTCTCTTACCTTGCTGGTTCTTCCACTTGCTTCAGGTACTCTTCGTTCAAGGGCAAGTTTCAGAGTCTCTTCTGACATCCATTTTGGTCTTTTCTTCCTTTCTTATCTCTTTAATGACCTTTTGCTTTCTTCATGGATGATGTTCTTGATGTCATCCCACAGTTCTTCTGATTTTAGGTCACTGGTGTTCGTTGCATCAAATCTATTCTTTAGATGGTCTCTAAATTCAGGAAGATATAATAAAGGTCATATTTTGGCTCTTGTGGACTTCTTTTAATTTTCTTTAGCTTCAACTTGAACTTGCATATGAGCAGCTGTTGATGGTATGTTCCCCTATCAGATCCTGGTTTTGTTTTGGGCTGAAGATATTGAGCTTCTCCATCACCTGTTTCCACAGATGTTGATCTGATTCCTGTGTACTCCATCTGGTGAAGTCCACGTGTATAGCCATCATTTGTGTTGTTGAAAAAAGGTATTTACAAGTACCTTGCAAATTGCAAAAAGTAAATTGCAAAAT